GCCTCCAGGCACTTAATTGGGGGAGCTGGGTTTGCCTGCCCATATGCTAGAGTTTAGTACCTTTAGGCAGAGCGGTGTGCCCTTTGGGCAATTATTGGCAGCCCTAAAATAGCTTTGTAACACTGCAGGGGGAGGGCAGAGGCCAAAAGGCCCGTTAGCTAAGAGGCCAAAGATGGGGCCTCAAGGGGCCTGCCTGCAAGCAAGGCTGAGAAGAAGCTGTTCTCTCCAAATAATTGTATCCTGAGTATTTGTAACCTTGTTAACTTAATAAACCTTAACAAACCCCTTTATCATGAGTATTGTCTGTGAGTCCTGTGTGGCCACTGCAGTGACCTATCCCACTCATCTGAAAAGCAGAGAGCTTGGGAGGAACGGACGGTTGGTGTCAGAATTCGTGGGGAGGTTGGAGGGTGGGTAGTGTCGGCCTCAGCACCGCCCGCCCCCCCTCTCCTTCAGGAATCAACCTTGGGAAGTTGGGGAGCTCCATTTCCATGATGGGGAGTTCCATTTTCCTTCCCCTTGAGAAGCCAGATGCCACCGCCACACCACATTCTTTTCTACAGATGAGGCCAGCAGGCTTTGAGCAAGCAAATGACGGGCCCACGGCTTCAGTGATGGCATGGGGCCGAGCCAGGATGGCCCTCAAGTCAGAGAGCGTCCTGCCCAGTTCCCATCGCCTCACCTCCCGCTGCTTCCCTTTTCCTCGCTGTGTGCTGTCTTCCTTGGACAGGCACGAATTTCATTGCCTTAAGACAAACCCCGTTCAGTTGACTTCATGGTGACCCACTGTAACCCTCCAGAGCAGAGTAGACGTGCCAGGAAACAGGGTTTCCAAGGTCACCATCTGTCCCTCTTCTGAGGAGCAGCTGGCGGGTTTGACTTCTGACCTTTCCAGGAGCAGATGAGCACATCACCACCTTACGGCCACCGCCTCTTTCGGATTTTAAAACAGGGTGGTGATTCCTCTTTGCTGTTTACACAATACATGCTCAAGAAAATGTACCCTTTTCCCACTTATAGAGCTTATGTGGCTTTTTGTGTGGTGAGAACTTGGAAAGTACAGAACTGTGGAAAGAGCCAGAACAATGCAGAATCCCTAAGACCCGCCCCCAGGAGTGGAGGTGCGGTTACCACTGTTAACCCAGCCCTTCCCATCTTCTTTCCTAAACAGCTGGTGCTGCTTTATTACACAGCATGCAGAATTTCACATCCCACTTTTCTTTTCACTTACTGGACTCCTACAACCCTGCATGTGTGCGTTCCATTTCTCCGCCTTCAGCAGGGACTCGCTTCTCTGTCAGAAGGGTGATCAAAGCCTGAAAACCGTGGGCACAGCTTGGCTCTGTGGTTCTTATGGCTTTCCGTCTGCTTTAGGGAGGCTGTTTTGAAATGATTTTGTTGCCAAGAAGCTGCGTGTACTTTCTTCTGCTTGTTTATTTGGATCCAGAAAAGCCTCCCACTGAAATGATACTGGCTGCATCCTGCCCTGAACGTGCCAACATCAATATGCTTGTCTATTTGCATTTGAAATAAGATGCACATTTAAAGGGTGTGTTTTCGAAGGGGTACATATTGTGTTTAAAAGACCATAACTGAACAGTCATGGGTGTTCAACCTTTTATCTTCAAAGGAAGAGCAAAGGGGAAGTCAGTCCCCACACCCACAGCCCCACTGTCTCCATCATTTGGGCTGGGGCCTGTCTGTGTGATTTCCACTTCAGTCTCCCGTAATTCGTAGTCAGCCCTGGCTGGACCTCAGTGTACAAAGGAAAATTTGCTACCCTTGTTTAAATCTGGGAAAAGGTTCAGAAATGCAGAGCCCAGTATTAACTCCCAAATACAGAAATGGCGCGTGGTTCACTGCCTCTGGAGGGGTCCACGGGGGAAAAGCCACTGCTGGGATGGACTGCCCCATGACGCCTTATCTAGCACGTCACCCCATGTCCAGCTTTTGTTCAGCCTCCGAGAATGGGCTACTAAAATCCTTACATGGGCCCAATTAAACCAGTCAAGGGGAAGAGTACAATCTTGACCAGTATTCATTCTTGCCAGAGATTGAAATAAAAACAAATAAAATAGAAAGATAACATGTGTTGAATGCATGCCAAATATGGCAGTGACATAAAGGTTTACTCACACTCAGGAGAGTTGGACCAGAGGCAAAATAAGGTATCGTGCTTTCAGCAGTGTTGCCCAACAGCCCCCCACCAACACACACACACACACACACACACACACGTTAAAAGTTTGGACTCTATAACTGCTATTTTCTGAAGTCTGGTCAATAAAACTTGGCCGTTTGAAAGCCCCTCCCAGGGCCAGCAGTCGGCTGACCTTGTGGACAGGAGGAGGGGTCACATGGAAGTAGTGATGGTGGCCAGCTCGCCAATGGAAATGACAGTCCCTTACCTCCTGACTGAGCAGTCAAGCCAAGCATGTCTCTGGCTCAGACGTAAAGGGCTTTTGCGACAACTGTCCCTGGAGGTGCACACGATTAAGGAGACTGCTAACTGGAAGGTTGGCGGGCGGGGGCTCCTTGGAAAGCAGGCTTGGGGATCTACTTCTGCAAACTCAACCGCAGAGAAGCCTCTTTACTCTGACACCTGAGGCTGCCATGCTCTCACCCAATGAGGAGGTGTGGCACACAAGCCCAGGGGTCTCAGCAAACCAGAGCGCGTGGAGCCCAGTCCGCCAACTGAGGACCCACGTCATACATGCTGTCAGCGTGTCCTCTGCTGTGGAAGCCCCCACCCTGACCACTCACTCAGTTAATGCCACAACTGGCTGGGTTTGCAGAGAGAGGACTTTGCCGCGCATTCACTTTCCATGGTGGCCACAGTACTAGAGCTGAAAACTGAACACTTTGCTTGCAGGCGCCTACGGTCTACAGTGAGACCCCTAAACCCATTGTTGAGTCCCGCAGATTTCCCCTCCGATGAGCTCTTGGTGACCGCTGTATCCTCGCACACAGTGTGATTGCCGTCACTTTCCCCAGCCAGCCAGCCGGGAGGCAGGGGCTTGCCTGGGTGTGCCCTTGGTGGACGGATACAGTCGTGAGTCCATTCTGATCAAGTTAGGAACATTCACAGACATTAGAAAGGTGTATTTAAGGGGAAAAGCAGAGTTTCCTGTTGCTGCGAATGTCCACCTGTGAGGCACGGCCATGCTGCCTTGGTTGGAGGTCCCTGAAGCAACCCTGGAAACTTCTCTAATCTGCAGTATGCAAACTTTTCTAATCCCGGTCCCTCTTCTGTAGTACTGGCTGTAAGGGTGATGAATTGACCTGCAGCCAATCCTGATTGTATGACAGTGTCCTGTGTTCTCCCTTCCCGTCCAAGTGTTCTAGTTCCAGTGTGTCCTTAGACACCATTAGGGCCTTGTGCCGACAGCCTCCCTCAGCCAGATGATTGTCTTGGTCTCTGTCCTGTTTAAGAGAATACATGTGTCCCTATAAATTATATGTGAATTTGGAGTCTCTTCCTGTACACCCCACCCCCCAGATAACCACCAAGTTAAAAACCAAAACCGAATCCGTTGCTACGCAGTCGATTCCAACTCACGATAACCTTATAGGGCAGAGCTGAGTTGTCCCATGCTTTCTTAGGCAATAATCTTGATGGAAGCAGACTGCTCCTTCTTTTTCCCACGGGGCGGCTGGTGGGTTTGACTTGCTGGTCTTTTAGTTACCGGTCCAGTACTTAACCACTGCACCACCAGGGCTCTCGAAGACTATGGCACATCAGAAACTATAGATGACAGGGTTTCCAAGGCTACCTTCACAGAAGCAGACTGCCACGTTGCTTCGTTTGAACCCCTGCCCGTTTGGTAAGCAGTGGATTAGAGCTTAAATTCTGAGCACCCCGTTTGCAGAAGGCTATGGACGACAGAGAAAACCTAACATCCATTTGCCGAGTGCCCACGTAGATGAAGCCTCCATTGAGTTCCTTCTGACCATTAACTAGTGAGGAGAGCAATCTTGCAGTGCATTGGACAGTGGATTACCTCCACCCCTCTCCAGCCAGGTCGGGGAGGGGCAGTCTCTCTGAGAGGCCTGCCTGGGTGTGTCCTTGATGGGAATCACCATACTGGGGGTGGCCCTGGGAGTGGAACAGTCCTGTCCTGACTGCCTTGGTCAGAAGGCCCTGGGCCAATCTTGGAAGCTCTTCTGACCAACATAATGCAAGGGTCCCGGTCATGACTTTGTTCCTGCTTCTGCAGCCCCACCTGTCACCTTGACGCACTGATCTGAATCATGAACTTGTGAGCTTCCTTTGTAAAGCTCCATGCTTTATTTAAGTAGCTGTGGGCTATGCATCCCTGGAGGCCCTTAGGACTGGTGTTGTCTCCCTTATCCAGTTGATGGTTCTTCGTCTCGGTCCTGTTTAAAACCTAACAAATATTCTGCTTAAATTATACTTCAGCTTGGGGTCTCTGTTGGACCCTGAAACCACGGCCAAGCACATAATCACTCCACCACCAGAGCTCCTTGGTCACTGAGTTCCCCGCTGCCAGCAAGTCCATTCTGATCCAAGCGAACCTCAACTTAGGCGCATGTCATTCACAGAAGTTAGAAATGTGTATGTAAAAGAAAAAGGCCACAGCAGAAAAAACAGAGTGGACTGGTGCTGCGAATGTTCATCGGGGAACCACCAGCCTGGCTGAGCAGTCAGATGGATGGGGGGGTCCCAGAACCAGCTCCATCTCTGTGGACAATGAGTGAACATCGCTCCTCTGTGAAGAGAAGGTGATACCACAGGGTGTCCTGAGTGGGGTGAGGACATTGGCTGCTACCCAGGTGCTCAGCTGCACGGAGACTGTTAACGATAAAGTCACAGGCTGGTGCCCGGTGGTTATTTTTAGAGCTACCCACCTCCAGCTGTTTGAAGAGCAGCCCATCTCTGTTGTCTGAGGAATTGGATCAGCCCTTGTTCCTGATATTGCCCATTCTGACCAGTTTTTAAGTCACCCCGAGCAATCAATACGGAAACTCAAAATGATTACCTGTAAGCTGTTGTTCAGCAGATCAAAGTCACTGTATCTTCTAACAACCTGCAAGAGACAAGACGGCGGTCTTGTGACTCCGATTTCCACTGACACAGTATTTCCTGATGTAGTGACAAGTGGCACTCGAGAGCACTCAGGGACGAGGGTGCTTGACTAGACAGCCCCAGGTAGCCAGGCCGCAGGAAACGGCTAATGCCAGCCAACACATCACACGACATCAGTAGGGGTACGTGAGATGTAGTCATTTTCAGAGGAAATAAGCCTTTAAATATCTTTCTTAAGTACCTGAAAAGATAAATAAAAGATTAAAAAAAAGAATTTTCTGGTCCAAGCAAAAGGAGGTAGAAAGTTTTAAGGCAGTGGTTCTGAACTTGTGAGTTGTGACCCCTTTGGGGATCAAACAACCTTTTCACAGGGGTCGCCCAATTCATAACAACAGCAAAAGGACAGTGATGAAGTGGCAACAAAAATAATGTTATGGCTGGGGGTCACCACCACGAGGAACTGTACTAAAGGGTCGTGGCATTAGGAAGGTAGAGAACCACTGCTTTGAGGCCATTCATCCTTTCCCCAAATAAAACTTCTCCCACTTGAGAGCCCACGTGCTAGAAGCAGGACTGCCCCGCAGGCAGAGCTGTCACACCCCCTCCTATTGCCCAGGGCTCCTCTTCCTCTGAGTTCCTGATAGACAGTCTACCTTGGATTGCTCGCTCCTTTTTTGTTTATGTTGACACCATGCAATTCTCCACGTCCAAATCCTTCTAGCTTCCTAGGAAATTGTTCTGCTTTTGAACAGTTTGAACTCAACTATTATAGACTATTCTCAAATGTTAGTATGCAGAAGAATTACCTGGAGATTCCCCAGAGAATCTAATTCCATAGGTCAAGGGTGTGGTCCAAGAACCTGCCTTTTCATTAAGTCATCCCATGCACTCGAATGCAACTGATCTAGAAAGATGCACCAGGCATTGCTTTTTAAGGTAGGACAAGGAGACTATACCTTACTGTTGGCTCCATTTGCCAGGTACAGTACACACCAAAATGTTAAATAGAGGAACAGAAGAAGAATGCAGAATAGGTGCAAGATACGGAGTATGTGGTGACCAGAAGGGGTGGGTCTCACTCTCTCTCTCTCAGAAGTTGATTTCACTTCTATTTGTGAGTCAACTAGGGAAGGTCAGCCTGCCTTGGAGAAAACCCTTAACATTATTAACACAGACTCTCGGTTTTAAAAAATCCACCCCATCTAATGCTGCAAATCATGCATTTTGACCAAATTTGTTTTGTCTTTCATGATCCAGGATTTTAGATTTTGTCTTTTCAAAGTCTGCAGCATTCTCCATATGTCCCATCAGAAGGACCCAATCTGGAAACTGCAGTAAGTGAACTGGAATTTACCTTAAACGCCTGTTGCAGATTAAGAAACTGACACACTCCTTTGGATTTAAACCTGAAGTACCGTAATGTGGGAAGAAGCAGAGGACTGTAATCCCAAGGTCATGGGCTTTGAAGTCATCAGACTTTGGTTCAAGTCTATTGCTTTGGGGTTGCCCAATAATGAACAACTTGAGACTACCATATAGTTGCTATTTTCATGTTTTCCTTACTTTTTGTGGTGTGTCTTAATGCTGCATACAGTTTTGCCTTACTGAATGAGTGTTATTGAAATTGCTGCCTTGTGCCTAAGTCTTATTATTTTCCTAAATAATTTTTTAGGTCACTTAAGTTTTTAAATCTGTAGAAGTTAATGTCCCATGTACTTTAGTTTAAAAGGCTTTCCTATTATATATTTTCATTTTTAATAGTATTTTAAGTTCTACCATTGGCTAGATTAATGATGTTACTCTTAGAATTAACAAATGCCCCGTGCAGGTTATATTATTTCTCAAGAAGCTAATAATGCTGCTTCTAAAGCAGAATATATATATATTTGAACCTTAAAAATGAATGAATTTTGAGCTCTCACTTAATTTAAGCTCTAATCTAAAAACACTTTGTTATGGTGTGGCCCTGCTCCATCCTGGGCCTCATGAAGAGATTACTGAAGATACTGTTACACAGCAAAATGTGGGTAAAAAACCAGATGGTTCTTGGCTATTAGAAGGAATAGCGCCTGGGTCTTAAAGGCTTGTCTTAAAACAAGCAGCCATCTAAGTGAGGTGTTACCTAAATCCACACAGAAGCAGCACACCAGCCTCAGTGATCAAAGAGTTTTTAATAATACAATCCATGATCGGAGGAGGGGGGAATGTATGAGAGCTTAAATTCTGAGCACCAGAGTTTGCAGATGGCTATGAGTGACAGTGACAACGCAAAATCCATTTGCAAAGTCTCCACAGTGATTAAGCCTGAACTGAATGCTTCTGATGTAGCTTTGTCTCTGTTCTGTTTAAGACTTGATAAATGTTCTTCTTAAGTGATATTTGAGATTTGGGACCTCCTTTGCATGCTACAACAATATAGCCATCCCTCACAAGTACAAAGAAGTCAGAGCACAGTGGCTGAGTTAGTTAATTGTGCCAGCCTGGCTGATAATCACATGTGGTGCTGGTTGAAAGGCGGAGGGATAAATGGGTGGTGAAGCCTCGCCTTTCTAGTTCTCGGGTCTCTTGTTTTGTGATGGTTGTATCGGGTGCAGCTGCCTTAGCAGTTCCCTGCTTCAGCTTGCAAGATTGACTTCCTCCAAGACATCCCCAAGGAGAAGCCTCATGGATCTATCCCGATGCAGCCCTGGGTGCTGGAGCAGCCGTGTGGAGGCCCCTGCTAGTGCTGAGATGCTTGTTCATTCACTGACTCAGCTTTCCTCCTGCAGTCGGCATCATTGCCTCTGTTTTGTGAGGTGGAGGACTTTGTGGACTGGTGTTGGGTTAATGGGTTAATGTTGGACTTGTGGGCTTGGGCAGCATTGGGTTGGGATGTTTTCATGATGCACCTTTTCTTTACATAAAACTCTCTCTTATACATGAGTCGCTGTGGATTTGTTTCTCCAAAGTACCTAGACTAATACAGTGGCTAATCACACAAGCTCACCAGAAGACAAGCGTTCCCAACCCTCTTCTATCACGGAGATGTGACCTTGGACAAGTCACTCTTACCCTGCAAATTCAGAATGGAGATAATACTACACACAGGGTTTTTCTCGTTTGTTTTTATTATTCGACACATGTTAAATACTTACTTATTCAGATAGAAGGAAGTGGAAAGTCTAGGCAAATGGAATGCCAGCTATGTGGCCACTGGGGTCAGAGACTACGCAAATGGGAGGTAAGGCTTGAGCAGGGCCACAAAAGACCAGGTAAGATTTTTACAAAATCAGCATAGGGGTGGGTGGAAAGAAATGGTCCCTATACAAAATCCACCCACCCTGTGTAAAGCAACCAGGCTGGGATGGACCCGAGGGCTGGCTAGGAAGTTTCTTTCTCTCTGAGGTAAACATTGAGGGACACAGAGCCTGGGAACATCCCTCAAGAGTTGGCGATGGGTCTAGCACCCAAAATTACCCATAAATGGACTTGAGAGCCCACAAAATGCCCCGACTAGACACTAGTCAGGGCATTTCTCTCCCCTTTCTACGTGTAGATGGTACTCTAACCTCTTCTCCCTGGTCCTCATCTGTAAGAGACAAGGTTTGAATTTCTAGGAACAAAACTAGAAATTTGGATATCCTTTAGATATATTCAATTGCAACATATCTGAATTTGAATAAACAACTGGAAACAGAGAGCATTTTATGAGTTTTGGAAGTTTAAACCTGGAAGTTTATATGAGTTTGGAAGTTTAATTTATAAATATAAATTATAAATATAATTTATATTTATGCATATTTTGGCTTTTCTAGATTTTTAGATGCCCTAAGTCAAAATGTTGGCTACAGTTTACACAGTTGTCTAATGAACAACAAGATGCTTACCTGCCAGCTATTTTCCACAGAAATTCCTCTCTGCACTCGAATGATATATTCCTGGAAAAGAAAAGTTGGGGATAAATAGCCTCAGTAACAAAATTCCTATATTAGAAAATAAAAAATATGCAAAATATCAGATAAGGTAAACATCATAGTAAAAATATAATCACAGAAACAGAGAGGGGCATTGCATAAAAATTAAAAGGTTTAAAAAATAATTAAATACAAAAGATAAATCTACCAAGACATAGCAATCCTAAATGTATCTGCACCAAACAATAGAGCTGAAGCGAAAACTGATAAAACTAAAATAAGAAATAAACAAATCCGCAATTATAGTTTATGACTTCAATATCTCTTTCAACAACTGATAGAGTAGTTGACAGATATAGAGGAATTCAATAATACCAGTAACCAATAGACTCTAATTGACATTTATGGAATACTCTATCCAATAATAATAGCATAACACTACATATTATTTCAGAGCACTCATACACCATATACCAGCAACGACTATATGCTGAGCACAAGTTCACCTCAATCAACTGAAGTGAATTGAAATAATAGAGTAGGTTTGTTTTAACATAGTGAATTCAAATTAGAAATCAGTAACAGGAAAATCTCCAAACTAACAACACACTTTGAATGGTCCATAGATCAAAAGTTAGGAGGTAGCATACGAGCAAGAACCAAAGGTGCAGAACGAAGACGTTCACACTGCACTGAAGTATTGGCCAAAAACAAGGCTCCAGGGATTAATGGAATACCCACTGAAAGGCTGTGGCAAGCTGAAGAAGCTCACTCACTCGTCTATGCCAGGAAATTCGGAAGACAGCTGCTTGGTCAACTGACTGCAAGAGATGCATATTTGTGCCCAAAGAAAGGTGACCAACAGAATGCTCAAACCATAGAACGATATCATTTATATCGCATGCAAGTAAAACTTTGTTTAAGATCATCCAACAATGGTTGCAGCAGTACCTTGACAGAGAACTGCCAGAAGTTCCAGCAGGATTCCGAAGAGCACGTGGAACAAGGGATATCATTGCTGATGTCAAATCTTTGCTCAGAGAGAATGCCAGAAAGCTGTTTATTGTGTTTCTGTTTTGTTGACTGGGAAATTGAGAACCAGGAAGAGTGTATGTGGGCAAATTCTTACGCTCATATTTAAGGGGTCTGAGAGGCAGATCTGGGGAGCTGGATATGCATCCCAGTCACATTCTCTTAAGTACAAGTTACTCCCCCACCATGTCCCCTGTAATAATTAATGCCCATTGTAAGGTGGTTACTGAATGCTTGAAGGTTAACTAACCGCTTGAAGACTATTTGCCAGAAGGTTGTCTGCCATCAAGATCGATCAGACCACCCCACCCCAACTACAGTCCACTTCCTTCGGATAAGAATCATAGATTGTTCCTCTGGAGAAATGCTCAGGAACACTTAAAACTTTCTCTGCAAGCCAGCTCAGAGAAGACCAAGGTTAAGCTGCCATCTTATCTCTAGAACCCACCCATCTTGTTACACATGTACCTTCCTGTTACTTGTATGCCTCTAAAACAGCCCCTTCCTGTTATGTACGTGTATGGCCTGGTTTGCGCGCTTGAGATGACATATGCCCTTGAGAGAATGCATTCACTCACTCTCTGGTTCTGGGTCATCATGGAAGAAATGAGCCTTTGCATGCCTTGCCTAGCATTCATTTAATTTATGCTTCAATTACACCGCTGCCCCCTAGGACTCATTCCGTTGTGGAGGCTCTTCCCCCACAACTGACTATGCAAAAGCATTCGACTGTGAGGTCCATAAAAAACTGTGGATCACCTTGAGAAGAATGGGAATTCCAGATCACTTCACTGTGCTCCTGAGGAACTTATACATGGATCAAGAGGCAGTTGTGTGAACAGAACAAGAGAATACTGCATGGTATAAAATCAGGAAAGGTGTGTGTCAGGATTATATCCTCTGACCAGACTTGTTCAATCTTTGTGTTGAGTCAATCATCAGAGAAGCTGGATTATCTGAAGAAGAGTGTGGCATCAGGATTGGAGGAAGGCTTATTAACAACCTGTGGTACGCAGATGACACAACCATGCTTGCTGAAAGTGAGGAGCACTTGAAGCACGTGCTGATGAAGATCCAGGATTGTAACCTTCAGTGTGGATTACAACTCAATGTAAGGAAGACCAACATCCTCACAGCTGGACCGCTATGTAACATCGGGATACATGGAGAAAAGGTCGACGTTGTCAAGAATTTTGTCTTACTTGGATCCACAATTAATGCTCATGGAAACAGCAGTCAAGGGATCAAAAGATGCATCGCATTAGGTATATCTGCTGCACAAGACCTCTTTAGAGTATTAAGAGCAAGGATTTTATGTTAGGCCTGACCCCAGCCATGATGCTCTCCATGCCTCATATGCATAGGAAAGTTGGACAATGAATAAGGAAAACGGTAGAAAAACTGGATGCATTTGAATTGTTGTGCTAGAGAAGACTATTGAAAGTACCATGGGCTGCTAAAAGGAAAAACACCTGTATTGGAAAAAGTAAAGCCAGAGTGCTCCTTAGAGGCAAGGATGGCAAAACTTGGTCTTACATACTTTGGACATGTTGTCCAGTCCCTGGAGAATGTTTGATACAGTGGAAGGGTGGCAAAAAAGAGGAAGGCCCTCAACGAGATGGGCTGACCCAGTGAGTGCATCATGGGCGCAGGCATGGGAACACTGTGAGGGAGGCGCAGGGCCAGGCAGTGTTTCGTCCTGTTGTGCACATGGTCGCTATGGGTTGGGGCTGACTCGCTGGTACCTAACAACAACAATAGATCCAGGAGGAAGTTTTAAAGAAAAGAAAATACACACTGAACTGAATGGAAACAAAAACAAGATGACTGCAATGACAAGTTTGTTACATATATACTTTTCCTATAATTTATAATGTATTCATTTAATAGAACACAATTTATGAGACAAATCAGCATTGAGAAGAAAATGTATAGCACTAAATGCTTACAATAGAAGAGAAGAAAAAACTCGAATAAAAATCTAAACATCCAAGAACCTAAAAAAGCCTGAGAGAACATAATAAACCAAAGACAAGAGCTGGAATTAATGAAATAAAAAGCTGCAAAGAGACCAATAAAATAAGCCTCTAGTAAAATACACCAAGAACAAGAAAAGGAACAAATTGCTAATGTCACAATGAAGCAGAGTTATCACCACCCATCCCATGGATCTCAAAAAGATACCAGGAGAACACGAGGAACAACTCCACATATACAAATCCGACAAGTTAAATGAAATGGGCCAGTTCTTCAAAAAACACAAAAGTATTACAACTCGGTTGATATGTAATTTTAACATCCGTACAACCACTAAGGAAATTGAATTTATAACTTAAAATCTCCCCAAAAGGACTCCCTAGGTCCAATGGTTTCACTGGAGAATTCTACCAAATGTTTAAAGAGTCCGGTGAATGGCCACCTCTGGTTCCACAGGTGTCTTTCCCGTGTCCTTAAATGCCATGGCGGCGGGGGAGTTTCCTGACTGACTTGTTCCTTGGCAAGAATTAACAGCGGTGAGCCCAGAATTGGAGCAGAGGAACGGAGCACGGTGAAACAATGACCACGTCTTGCTCCAAGAGCTAAAGAATTAACATCAACTCTACACAAATTCTTCCAGAAAAATGGAAGAGGAAGAAACATTTTACAATTTACTTGAAGTTATTATCCTGACCAAAACCAGACATAAAAAAAAAACTACAAATTAATCATCCTCATGAATAGAGCCTAAGGAATTCTTACCTAAATATTAGCAAATTAAAAAATTAACAATACATAAAAGGAATCATATGCCATGACCAAGTGGGAATTATTCCAGGAACATAAGACTGGTTCACTATTCTAAATCCATTAATACAATCCACTATAATAAAAGGCTAAAGAAGAAAAATCACATGGTCATACTAATGAGGACGAAAACCCATTTGAAACAATCCAGCACTGCAGTACAGAGAATCAGGTAATATGGCCCTGCCAGCCACGCATGGTCTTACACTCCTATAAAATGATTGGTGGAACTGTGTGACTAAGGTGTTCATGGTCCACCCAGAGGACTGAACGGAATTGCTAGTCATGCAAACAAGGTGTATCAAACCCTTCCAGAGCAGAGACCATGTAGTAAATAAGGTGTATAGGATTCAAACAAGGGGATTGGTCAATTTTGCCACCCCCTAAACCAGGGGTCCTCAAACTTTTTAAAGAGGAGGCCAGTTCACTGTCCCTCAGACTGTTGGAAGGCCGGACTATAGTTTAAAAAAAAACTATGAACAAATTCCTATGCATACTGGACCAGTTGGCTGCTAAGCAGGACATGCAGCAGCAACAAAAACACCCGGCGGGCCGGATAAATGTCCTCGTGGGCCACATGTAGCCCCCGGGCTGTAGTTTGAGGACCCCTGCCCTAAACTAAAACATAAACTATCCCAAAGGCACAAAGAGGAACTTCATTTTCATCAAGACACCAGACCTAGAGTAAATCAAGACCTAGGAGTAAAGTCCCTACTTTGGACCCAGAGTCCCTGCACTGAGACCCTCTTAGACCCGGAAGACAGAGGGGAGGCAATGGCGGGAAACACAAGAGAACAGGCAGCAGGAGAACCAGGAGATTAGCACTAGCCAGCGTGTGGTGGGCTCTCTAGCCCATGGAGTGAGGTGGCTACTGTGGGTCTACTGACTCACAGAACAGGAGAGCTAAGCACCTTTGGGTTGAGCTTACTGTGAGAACTGGCAGAGCTAACGAACCTTGTGACACTTGCCTGAGCAGGCTGGAGGCCAGGCCAGCAGCCATGGAGAGATTTGCCAGTGGGCATGAATGGCAGCCTCTTACCTCCCTAAAGCTCAGAACTGTGAGTATGGCTTGCGAATTCTGTGTGGCCACTGCAACAAGTTACAGAACCCAGTAAAGGAGTAGAAAGTGCCAAGGGAGGGAGAGGTGGGTTAGAATTAGCTAAAAGGTGAGAGAGAGGAAGTATGTGCGACCTCCACCTCACAGGGAT